TCTGATCATGATTGAAACATGCACGTCCAACTTAATATATTAAGCGTAGAGTAACAAACGGTAATAATGACACTTGTTTATTTCACGAAGTTACTTACAGAAATCCCCCCAATAAAATGAATAATGAAACATTTTCAACATACACAAAGCAGATGAAAAGTAGGTAGAGGAGACACATTTTTAAAAGGAAGATGAATAACATGCAAATGCATTTTAAAAGAAAACTAGTAATTAAACAAGTAATGGCGCAAAATGGCACTCTTGAAGACTTTACTCTCGATTCTTCTCTCTTCAATTTTCAGTTGCTTCGCGCTTGAAGATTTCATTTGTTTAACAAGCATCAACCACTCTGCAGTGACATTATCACAATTTGAAGCCTATGATTGGATAAAGGAACTTCCTCTTCCTTGGAATCTGCAAGTTGTCAAGTTGACAGAAATTCTATTCAGAAAATAATATGATTCGTTCAACCTCCAATTTTACTTAGATTTTTCTATGGTGGCCGATGACTTTAGGTCATTGTTACACCTCCTGACATAAAATGAAACTTTTTAACAAGTATAAAACATTTCTGAGGCCACGAGTCGCGTTGAGAAGGACGTTCATAAATTAATTAAAATTACTTTATAAGGCAGAATGTGTCACAATGATCTAATGTCATCGGCCACCATAAAAAAATCGCCAGTTTCCGGCGCACGATTACAATACTTTCTCTTCTGACGTTACTAAGGGTGAGAAAGTAAAATCGAAGAGCAGACAGTGAAACAAAGTCTTGGCGGGCGCGGCGCGGCGCGGCGCGGCGCGGCGCGGCGCGAGCAGTGCTACATCTGCTTGAAGCTCTCAGCCCTCGGTGTTGCGACTAATGGCCGTTATTTATATCTCTTAATACATGTTGCCCCGCCGACGATACAGGCGGCGGCGGCGGCAGCGGCAGCGGCCCGGCGCTCGGATTTAGCGCAATATTTCACTGATCCACGATGAAATTAGGGCGCATCAGGAAAGCCTGCTGGTCATTTTATTTCCTCCGCTCGGCGCTTTCGCAAATGTAATGGAGATGGATGCTACTTTTGCGGCCACGCGGAGAGGGTTGTGACGGACGGGGACGAAGCGAGGACGAGCGGAAGACGTCTCAGGCTGTTTCGGGTTTCCTCGGCTGGGGTTCGGATTTCATTGACTAATGCTTGCGGGCGCGCTCCATCTGCTATGGTCATTAGTCCTGTTAATGTAGGGAATGTTTTATCTTTGGAGGTGTCGGTGTTCCTCATCGCTGGATAATAAGAATCGGCGCCGATCTACACGTCGGATCGCGGGGTTTCCCCTTTCAGGTATCTCCGGCGGTGAGGAACGCTCCAAATCTGGACGAACTCCAAGCTCCCAAATGGACACCCGACATGGAAAGTAGTGTAATGCATGTACAAATCAGTGAGGACTGAGAAAAGGAAAGACGAGGAAGAGAAGATCGCGTGAGGTCCTTGGCTCTTTTTTTAGTGTACTTCCCCGGCATTCGCCTGATTTTGATCAATAGGACTGTGGTTAACTACCAATCAGATGAGAATATCACGAGAATTCTCTTTCGGAGATCGTGAGAATTCCACATAGCTGTTAGCAATTTTTGGACATTCGCCAAAGTCGAAACTCAAACCCTAGGACCTCCTGGTGAAAGGCGCTGCAGAGATTTGTAATGAGGGCTCTGAGCTAATTCAGATAGTCTGTTTTTGACAGTGAGCAACTTTTTCCATTTTAAGATCTTACTAATTTCGAAAAATTACATGTGGAAAATCTTGGCGCAGGAAGTTTGGAATTTGTAATCTCTTACGCAAAAGATTCCAAACACAAAGAATGAGCGTGTGTGTCATAACTTTCTCGACGACGAAATAAGTGTTGTGAGAAAACTATTTCACAAACATTTTAATTTCTTCTTTTAGTTTTAGTATCTCTCTTTTATTGCGAAGGCATACCATTTAAAGGTAAGGTTATACGTATAACAAATTATGATTTGTGTTACTGTGTATAAAATTCACATTAAGTTTACAAAATATGCGTTTGGCTGAGGGTGTTCAATTTATTATTGGTTAAACTACAATAATACTACGATTTTTTAACGGTATAAATGGAGATGGAAGGCAGACTCCAATAAAAGCCGTAAAAGTTGGAGCTGTAATAACGAAGCAGCTCCCTATTGGATTCGGCCCTCTCTCTCCCTTTTTCGTGCGTTATCTTGAGACACTTCGTTTAAAAAATTCGAAGGATAAATTAATATTTTGAAACCCGGCGGCGAAAATACAAACATATTTAGTAAGTAATACTATCTGAGTGCTCGAAAATTAGGTGGTCTTTACTACGTGCTTTTCAATATATGAACTGCATTTTCTTCGTCAACATTTCCAATTCTATTTCCCGAGTGTTCAAGGTACTTGCTTTTCACCCTCTATTAGAATCCTGCATGTCCATTTTACACTGATAAACGCAATATTTGTACGTTCGTACGATATTTATGATTTAGTTAAATGTTATCTTAATTTTAATAAATAATCCTAATTTAGAGAAAACGTACAAAGAAGTACAAACTGTTATCGGTACTTTAAAAACCAAAAATTGGGCAGAAATCAGCGGATATGGCAAATTCAAAATAGACGAATATAGGTTAGAATAGGTAATGAATTCTATTTTGTTACGAAGTACAAAATTAGGTCATCAATAACCTCTTGAAATTAAAATATTGCTTTCAAATTAACAATAAAACTGAAATTTACAAAATAATGAACTAAAATTGAGTCAAGACAAATGAATATGGAGTCATTGAAGCATGCATGCTTTGTTTCTATGTTGTTGTTTTTTTGTTGTTGTTTTTTTTTTGGATCGCATGAAATGGACATTTATCTGTCAATTGTTGTCTAGTCCTCTCCTGTATAACCAGAAACTCACAAGCAGAGAATCATTAAGAAAACGTTCATTGAATACGCAGTAAAGACATTATCGTGTCATTGTATGGAAGACGCAAATCGCAAATGCAGTTGCGCACAACTTCGTTGAGCTGCCTTTTAAGTTCAACGTTTGATTGAGAAGCCACGTAACAACCCTTTTGTACGTTTGCTTTCATCCTTCCGCTGATTCACATTGACTTGCTAATGATGTCGAGATCGAAGTTGCCAACGTGAAGAAAGACCTTTAAAAGAAGTAGTATGCATATCGTCACACAAGTTCACAGTTTCCACCTTCATTCACAAAAGCACAGAACCAGTGGTTTCTTAGAGTTTTTAGTTCTGATTCTGCTCATTGCCTTTAAATTTTCGGGTATTTCTGAAGAATATTTATGTTAAATTTCTTAAAAAAATATATTGTGGTATCTTACTGAGATCTAGGCTAGCATCAAAATATTCAAATATTCAAGAATAAAGATGTGGAAATTCGTTTACAATTTAATATACACTAGGTTTTTTCCTCGCCACTTGTTGGTCATTTCTTTTTGAGAGAGGGAGATGGGGGAGAATGAGGGAGGAAAGAAGAGAGAGGATTGTGCAACGGTGGGGAAATAAAATAACTAAAAATAATATTAACTAAGAAAGATTGATTCACTAGTCAGCATCTCTGATAATTAATCGCGAGTAGTATATATAGGAAAATTTGTGGTGAAGAAATTTGGACTGGGAATAAATGTGAACGAATCTTGTATCATTGCACTATTATAATACAAATAATTTCGCCCATCACTTTGCAATTCTGAGAACTTATACAGTACATTAAATGACTTAGGAGTTGAAATTAAAAATAAAGATAAAAACTTATTTATTTGAAAGTACAAATCTTACTTCAAATACAAGGTTAGTTTGAAACTAGTGTATTGCATCAACAAAACTACACAAAATGATTTTTCGGGAAAGTGCACGCATACGTGTGAAGAACAATATTAAAATACTCTCTAATAACACTACAATACATTAAATATTTTAACAAAAACTCTGTTCACATATACCGTAATAACCAAGTTTAGATACCACAAATATAGAAAAAACCGCTGTTCCTCCAACTCAAATAAATAGCAACTATTTAAACTTGAATGTCCTTCTTTGGTGCCTTACAGCCTCATCATATCTGTGTCGAAAGAGGTACCGCACCGAGTATGAGACTTCAATTGGTACACGCAGTATGATGATAGGAGGAATAATGTTTCTAACAAACCCATAGCCTCCTCCATATATCCGGTGAGCAAGTAGTTTATTTTGCATTTCTGAGCTTATTCGAAATTAGTAATGCAGATAGATTATCGAATATTTTCCATAGCTCCTTTGCAATTGGCACCGAAATGTTTTACAGCGCTCTTACACCGCCGTGGCTCTCTACTAAGAGGCAGGAAACGTCCAGACCCCATCCAGAAACCGAGTAACCTCTGACCGGCAGGTTTTAGGGTTCGAATCTCGTCGGTGGCAGGATTTTCAATACTAGCTACACCGCTAGGTGGAATTCAGACGCTGTCTGGAGGAGAACTCCAGCGGCCAGCTGCTCTAATTGGTAGTTTTCAGTGGTTTGTCCGATCAACACCAGGTGAATGCCGGAGCAGTACCCTACCAAACAGGTCACTGGCTGCGCGCGATCTTTCTTTCCTCTTTCTTGTCCTACCCTAACCTCTTACATATACACATTTGCATTCAGTACACTACCACACATGCCGGGTCACCGGTCGGAAGCATAGAGCTTGTCCCGGGTAGGGCAGTGCCTCACTGGTGGGAGATACCTGGAAGGAAGAAAATCACGCTACGTCTAGGACGACGCCGGTTCTCACTGTTCAGCGAGGAGGGCTGGAACAACACCGCCACCTCCCGCGATAAAAGATGCACTACATTTACAGGACGAATGATCTAAGACGTTAACGCAACCGGGAACAGAAATCAATCATACGTATTAGGCACTGGCACAAGAGGCAAATTAACTCTAAATGCCACTGCTTTATAGCATAAGAGATCGGCGCACAACTATAGTCGCATGTTGAAAACTGTTTTATTCACATTTATTTTTCAGCTTACATCATTCAGAAATTATAATTCAATTAAATGTTTCTTTCAGAACATACTAACACAGAAAATATTTTGAAACATTTGTTGCTTGTACAAAGCAAAAGAATTCTACTAGTTCGATGAAAAAGTCAATAAGATTATCCTACTACCAGAAGGTCATCTTCAGGAAACTCGTAGTAGGGCACTTCCAAATTTCGAGGAGCGGGTCCTTTCCTAACGCGTCCCGAACAATCGAAGTGCGACCCATGGCAAGGGCAGTAATAGCCTCCAAAATCACCTTCAACACGTAAGAAATACAAGTATTTATTCCAATGCTTAACACAAAATAATAACGCACGCACTATCTTTTTTCAGTTTTGTACCCAGATCTGAATCATCATCGAACTATTGAATATTACAATTTTTTGACAAAGTTTTTGTAGGTGACTCGTAGGAGGTTTAGGCCTAGTGAGAAATATATAGATTCCTTTTTGTGTAGATGTTAAGAAGTATTCAGAATCTGCGGATTTCAACCATCAACATACGATTGTAACTTTACAATGAACATATGAAATACAATCTTAAGATTTTCATATCAAAGACGGACAGGACAATAACTTCGCCATCATTATATTGTGAGAATAGTGAAAAATATTTCAAATCTAAAATTAAAATAGTAATACATATTATTAATAAAAATAAGCGAGTGGAGATACAGAATGGCACAAACTTTCTCGTACTAATTAGTTTCGTAATTCCGTTAGTCAGGGTAGCTTTTCGGGTTTCGAAGTCAAAAATCTGGTTCCATCCGGAAATTTTCATTGAAAGCTTAGGAGCCGTTTTTGAGAAAATGTCATATGATGGCTTCTGCAAATGCGTGATTTCGAAGTATTTTTCACACAAAAAAAGTAAAAATGAGAAACTTCATAATTAATCATTTGAAGCACGTGTACTCAAAATTGTAATATTGTATAAAACGAAACGTCCGTAATGTAATGATCTATTTCATTTTTAACAATGCTTCAGCACATCAAGTCTCGTGCAATCGTAGGCTTCCGCCGACAGTCATGTGAAACCTCTACGCTGTCTGGATGACGCCACGTCGAAGCCATTGATGCCGACGTTTCGACTATCCTACCGCGTATTTTTTCAGGGCCCTATAAGAATATTCTTGTTTAGACACTGCACCTTGAAAAAGAGCACGATATGATGGTCTAAAGGTTGGCATCAATGACCGCGTCACCGGACAGCCGAGAGCCTTTGGTTCAAGTGATTATTTTTAGTCCGGGTACGTAGGCTTCCGCGGCCGGAGTCAATGTATTCTTGGCTATCCGGGATGAGCCGCGTCTCAGTTAATTGGACTGACATTTCGGCCATCTTGCTGTGGCCTTCTCCAGAGCTATACTACTGCGATAGCTCTGCATTATATTGCAGCTCTGCATTAACTGCAGCAGCATAGCTCTAGTACAGCAAGATGGCCGAAACGTCAGTCCAATTAACTGAGACGCGGCTCAACCCGGATAGCCAAGAATACATTATTTTTAGTCCGTTGATCTCCGTACTCAAGAAAGCTGTTGCGAGACCACCATCTCGCGCCCTGCCCTCACCTTGATTGGCGATGGGCACGCAGCCCAGGTGGGTGCAGACGCCGATCAGCACCAGCCACTCGGGCCGCTTGACTCTCTCGCTGTCGTGCTGCGGGTCGCGCAGCTTCGTGATGTCCACCTTCTGTTCGCGGTCGATCTCCTCTGCGGTGCGGTGGCGTACGAACAGCGGCTTCCCGCGCCACTTCATGGTGACGCACTTGCCCTCGGGGAACTCCTCGCCGATGTTGATCTCTACCTTGGACAGCGCCAGCACGTCCGCCGACGGCCCCATGCTGCTCACCAGCTCGTGCACCACCGTCTTGGCGCAGTACATCGACACCATGCCGCACCCCACCGCCATGCCGTACGTCATCGCCTTCCGGGACGCCTCCGATTCTTTGCTACACGACGCCGGGTCCCGCACCTGCTTGCGCCGGTACCGGCAGAAATCTGGGACTTTGATGTCGGAATGCGCCTGCCGCAGATGGGCATCCAAGCGCGTGCTCGGTTTGGAAAGGTAATTGTCAATAGGCAACCGCTGGCTCAAAATACTGAAACATGCCGAAGCTTCTTGGGTAGTTAATTTGTGGCGTGTAAGCATTTCCAACGGTTTTGTTACTGAACATGTTACCCGGAAATGCGTTGTCAAATACGGTCGTATGATGTTCACACGAGATCCTGCTTGTAACATGATGGCAACAAATTGTCTTCCAGTATTGTAGTCCCTTTTCGTCTCAGCAGATGGTCGCTGATAGTCGATTACTGAGGAATAATTAACCGAAGTATTTAGGTTGTTGTTGTTAAAGAATAGTCAAGTCACCACGAGTCGTAAATATTAATTACATTCAATACTATAACGATAAATGATACATACGTTCTTAAAATTCATATCTGCGGATAATGACTTCCAGCACGAAACAGTCGCTTCATGACTTACGACTGCCATATTTAAGAAAACTTGCACTCAAATATCGTTCTATATTTGCTTTACAATTTTAGTAACGTCTAGAGCATCCAAAACATAACCACACACTCTTCTCTTGTCAACGAACATTTACTCTTACAAACCTCACTTTGTTTACCTAGCAACGGAGAGCATCGAATACTATGAATGTTCGTCTTCCCTGACCATATTTCAGAAGTCTATTATGACACAACAACTTGGGCAAAATACTCTCAGTGCAGATGTATATAATGTAAATTTATTTCGCTTTTTGATTTCATTGATTGTGTACAATTCATAGTTAACATGTATTATTTACTCGTTTACTTTTTGTACATTCAAGTAATGCTGATACAACCTGTTTAGGGTCACGAGAAAGTTAGGATTTCTCTGTATTACCCTTTAAAGGCATTTTTATCCGTTTCCATGGCCTTCTGTACAGGTAACAGGATGTAGGGTATCTTACTTGCGTTTTCGGAAACGGAGAGTGAAAGGCGTGTTAAGCACCATGTATTATTTGGAAACTTAAATTACATTAACAAATCTGAAAATAAATATTAAACCAAAATCTTGTAATGTTCCAAATAACCGAGACAAGTTTAAAACATTTTTCGTTTCACGTCACAAATTTTAAATAATTTAATGTAATTAAAACTAAGCGAGTTGTTTTGATTCCCTCTCATTACACACTTTAATAATATCTAATGTAGATCGAAACAGCATTACCGTAGGCCAACTTTTGATATGATGAATCAGCGTTCGCGTCCCTTGTCGCTTAGTAATGAAGTTTCAAATACACGATCATGACGCTGGCATACAGAGTTAATATTTGTTGTCCAATATTATGATGAAACAAGCAAATGTAATTATCTCTTCACACATTCGAAATTCAATTCGGCAAAACAAAGTTACTCGACGGACAACTGAATGAGTCAAGCCAACTCAAATACGAGCAAACTCTTCGAAAATCACAAATAGAATCAGAGTTCAGACAGGCCAACAGGTATACGATACAGAATTCAATATGTTAAGAGGTAAGAGAAGTCGTGGGTGAAGGACATTCCACTAACATTTTTTTAATCACGACATCACCAATCTATAATTGTTGTTGAATATATGGGATTGCACTTATACATTAGCAAATGTCATGAACAGTTACAAAATTATTAATGACACACGAGAAAAACATTGTTCAATGAACTTACCAAGTTCAACGAAGGGAAGGAAAATTCAAAATGAACAACTCACCTGCAACAAAGAGACATGCAACATAATTAGACAACAACAAAGAGACATGCAACGCTGATTAAATAAATAATGTGAAATAATTCATGCAATAATTAATCCACTTTAAAATGTTAATTTGGCTGAAAAGGACATAGCATTTATTCGAAGCATTTATTCGAACACTAAGATCATAAAGAAAATCACGTCGGTATTTTCTCTCAAAGCGGAAAATACAGTTGCCTTTGTGGATGATAGGAATATTCTTTGCAATAAAGAAACCGTAAGTGAACAGTATCAGATCTAATATTGTATCCAATTGCATTATTGTAATGATTTAATATCGTATCCAATTGCATTATTGTAATGATTTAATATTGTATTCAATTGTAATATTAAGCTTGAATAATGTATCACTAATTTTGTAATGTATGTATAACTGTATACGTAATAGTCACTAGT